TCAAAAATGAATTAGAAAAATTAAAAGCTTCACCATCACTTTCAATATTTCGGAATATCTGGTGAGGTTGAAAGCTGTGTTATATAAACTAACGCAAATGTTTTCAATATATCTAATAGCGACTTCTGTAAACTATTGCTTGAACTATTAAGTCTTTAAAAATTTCAAACTTTAATTCTTGTTTAAAAACAAATTGTATTCTTTTTTTCTTTCAAAATAGAGTAATTGAGAATGTATTGAATAACTATTAAAATATGACAGTGAATTGTTATTAATAAAAAAAGTCGACAAATAAATAACTTCAATTAAAACATGCAGCTTCCAAAGTGATATTTTCTGAAGAAAGTATTTGAGAAAATATTCTTGAAATTATTAAACATAAATTTCAAGCTCTTTTCCTTTTTGACAGACGGTTTAATAGTGATTAATATATAAGATGGAAAAAAAANCAACGCCACCTATAACTGAAAGTCTCCACACGATTTCTTACAGGTAGTCCGATCAAAACATTTTAAAAGTAAACAAGTTCGCAATAAAGCTATTTAATAGAATATCTATTAAAAATTAAGAAAGTGGTAGCAAATATATCTCTAAAAATTTGCTTAATTTATGAATCTGATTGATTTGTCTTATTTACTTGTCAACCACCATAAATTCAATTCTCAAATATATATGTTACATTTTTCCCAATTACTTTTAAATAAGAATTTGGGTTCATGCGCACAACCGGTTCACTTTTTAAATAATCTGCGCAGACTACTTATGAAAAACCGTGTGGAGGCTTTCTGATGTAGGATGTGATGGTTTATCTGAATTATAAATAATACTTTTCCCGCTTACCTGAATGGTTTATAAAGAACAACTGCCAAATTTCGCTTTTGCTGAAAACAATTTTTCTAGTGGTTGTAAGATGTCATTTAATTGTAGGCAGAAATGTTTTTTTTATTTACTAAATATACCAACGTTTGCTTAGCCTGCAATTATATAAAGTGTGTGTTTTGTTGATATATGTGTTCCAAATAATTTTAAATTAAATTTACTGTTCCTAAATATGAAAAAAAAAATTTTAAGTTTTGTCACCACTTTAAATATAAAAATAAACTTTTATAATAAAATCAAAAATTTTATTATTAGGGTCTTAAAGATATCATTTGTCTTTCATGCAGCGTCAAAATATTGATGCATTATTAAAATTTTGATAGGAGTAAATGTACCATACCTGCTAACTCTTCCGGATTTTCCCGAAGATTTTATTTTCATATTTAAAGTGGTAGTAAATATATACTATTTTTTCTTTTATAATTTCAATTTTTAAATGATTTTGATCACCACTATTCTTACAAAAATTAAGCACATATATCAATATGCATTACTATCATGTTTGTCAACTTAAGTTTTCTCAAATACAACGTTATTTGTTTGGTTAAAATTGAAGTTTTAATTCCATTTTAATATCACTGGGAAAACTTATAATGAAAAGGATTAAAAGTTGGCAGGTATGATATATCATTTCATATAAAATCGTAGTAGCTGTGAAGGCTCAGGAGAAAGCTTTTTCGCCTTCTAATGAAGTGACCTAGCTTCGAATTCTGCTCCCGACCAACGCCTCCTACAACTGAAAGCCTCCACACGGTTTTTTATAGGTAGTCCGATCAGACCATTATGAAGGTAAACCAGTTTACGAAAGAGCCACTTAATACGAAATCTAGTAAAAATAAGAGAGTGGTAGCAAATATATGTCTAAAAATTTGTTTATTTTATGAATATGATTGGTTTGTCTTATTTGCTTGTCAACCACTACAAATTTAATTCTCAAGTATATATGATAAATTTCCCTCAGTCAACTTCAGAATAAAATATGGGTTCCATGCGCACAATCGGTTCAATTTTTGAATAGTCTGCGTGGACTACTTATAAGAAACCGTGTGGAGGCTTTCTGATGTAGGAGGTGATGTCCCGACTCGCATTGAATACAGTGCTGACGTAAAATATATCCTCAGTAGTGGACGGATCATGGAGTAGAATCTCCTTACAGTCCTCTCCATGGGGTACAGTTGCGACTTAGCTCCCTCAAGAAGTAAGCTCGAAGGCTAATTTGTGAGTGTTTGATCCAGGACTTCGTGATTAGGCTCCAAATTACGGAGTTGAATGTTGATAGTCGTAAACTCTGAATCGGGTAGGCTGTTAGATGCTGGTTATGAAATAAAATAAAATTAATTCGACAAAAATGTTAGCATTATGTCTAATTAAAAAAATCTTAGTGAAATCATCCTGTCCTTTTTATAAACGTAACTTTCTTTTCATAATATCTTCCGAAGGTACTGATTATTTTATAGACTTATTGAACAATTATCAATAAGCAAGGAAAAATAATAATAATTTCACCTTCGGAAACTTTGCAGAATCCCAACAGCTCTGACTTTGTAAGTTTTTATCAACATGTATTTTTTTTTTCTTCAAAATTAGTACGTTTTGGCTCTGTCTATTTACTGTAATGGATTTGAATCAACACATGCTTGTAGAATTTTTTTTTTCTTTGATGAAAATATAAAAACAAAATACAGTTCATGCTAAATTGATGTGTATCGAAAACAAATAATTTTATTTGCATCTTCAAAAATTAATCCGAGTATAGATAAATTGTCAGAACAACAAACGAATTCAAAGTCCAAATTAATTAATTATTGACTGTTTTATAATTATTTAAAATTATATTTTACGTGTCTCAACTACTGAGAAAAATGTGTACTGTTTGCCTAAAAATACCATAATCACCCGAAAAATTTATTATTTTCTTTTTATATTGTTAACACGTGGACTGCCGGGCTAATTTTACAAGGCTTACCCGTCTGGCCACAGCGGTAAATTACTATTAACTAAATTCGCAAATATTAGACAGATTTTGCTAATTTTTAAAAGGTTTTGCATGACATACCTAAGACGAAGTGGTGAATTATATATGTTTACGAATCGTTTAGAAATAGTGGTGGATAAAAATCTATTAAACTGAATTTATTAAACCAAGAATCACAATTATTAAACTACCACTTGAAAATATATATTCGCTGTTCGGAGAAAGTTAGCATCACTGTGTATATAATTAAAACTATTTTTGTGTGTTCTATAATGCATTAATTTGTTCAAACCATTTTGGTAACGTTAATAATATAAAACAATTAAAAATTTACTAATAATCCTGGCATCATCGGTCACCGATGGCCCCCTATGGTATTCAACTTGTAAAAACACTCTATAACAAAAAAAATCGACGCACCAAGAAGGAGTTGTGTGATTGAAACGAAAATTGGTGGATAGGAAAAAAATGTACAGAATAGTAAATGATTAAAATTTCAGAACAATTGAATAATTTATTGCAGAGTTACAGTAACAAGTTCAATAAGGTGTTGACCAGCCTCTAGCCTGGATACAAGCTGCCACACGGCGTGGCATAGACCGATAAAGCTCCCGGATGGTCTCTTGCGGTATTTCTTGCCAAATTCGATCCAATTGTCGATCGAGGTCCTCAACATTCCATGCCAGATGCAATCGCCTTCCCATCATATTCCAGACATGCTCGATGGGAGAGAGATCTGGTGATCTGGCAGACCAAGGAAGAGTTTGCCAAGCTTGCAGACAGTTCATAGCAACACGTGCCGTATGTGGTCTGGCATTGTCCTGCTGAAAAACCAGCCCAGGGCGCTGCAAAAGGAACGGTAGCAAAATAGGTCTTAGGATGTCGTCGACGTACCGCTGTGCAGTAAGTGTACCTCTAATGACGATCCTAGGGGTCCGGCTGTCAAAGGAAATGGCACCCCAGACCATAATGCCTTGTTGAGGGCCGGCGTGGCATGCAATAGTGAAGGCAGGATCCCCCCTCTGCCCTGTGCGTCTCCAAACACGTCTTCGATGATCGTCAGGACACAGTTTGAAGCGGGATTCGTCGCTAAAGACTATACGTCCCCAGTCGGCATCATTCCAGCCTGATCTGTTCAAAACATTCATACATACGAAATTTCAAAGCAATAGGATGATTGCTTCTTGGTGCGTCGATTTTTTTGTTATGGAGTGTAAGTTAGACAATTTGAAAATGACACTCATATTTTTAACACGTGCGAAGGGCGACTCTTTCTCATAGGATTAACATTATGCACTATTGTAATTCGGAATTCAAACGATTTTTCCTTTAAATTATTTAAAAGATAACATGCTAGCTTACACCTCTATTTAAATAAAAACGAGTTTCACTAGGAGCATGCACTTAAGTTAAATCAACGTGGATGGCATGTGGGGCTACGCCACAGCATTGGTTTTTAAAAACATGTGAAATCATTGCTCATTTTATTTAAAGATAAGCTTTTGAAACGGGTTTCTATATACCTAAATTATAAAAAAGTCAATAGGAATTAAATTAGTATTAATTTGTAATTTTTAAACTGTAAGTCAATCTTTTAAATTATTCAGAGTGTCTATAATTTTTCTTTCTTTTGCTGAGTTGAACTTTTATAAAATGTGTTTCGTTTAAACTAATAATATTAAGTTCACCAGGACGGAAAATAAATACTAACGAAGGAAATAATTTTTTAAACATTAATACTATATAGATATTCAGTTTTGTACATGATTGTAGAGTGTTAATTAACCGATACAGTGTTATGAACTGACTTATGTAAGTTCATTTTTGGTGCAAAAAAGCTGGTGCAAAAGCGCCACTATCGGAAATTTCTGTAACTGAGAACTAGACCGAAGATTTACAAATGAAAGCTGCTCGTGATCTTTAGTATGGAAAACATTATTTTCTTTGGAAACAGCTTTTAGTTTATTTTGTAATAGCTGGTGTAACTTTGAATAGAATAATATTGAATGATTAATACGATTTTTCAGCCCGTAAGAAAGGCAGGTATTGAGAAACTAATTATAAGAGATATATAATTTTAAAAAAAATTTGTTTGCAGGACATACACGCATTAAAATTTATAAAATAAAAATGAAATTTTTAAAACTGAGCAACAATCTTTTTATTCAAACAAAGAAAAACACAGAAATATATATAAATAGTTAGTTTTTGGTTTTATTTGTTCGTAAAATTCACCAATAGTTTCCATAATTCAGCAGCCAGCTGCCAAAGTTAAATAAGTCTATATTTGAACTTTTATATTTTACATTTACCACAATCACCTATCTTATATCTCGAGTAGTTAATTCATGTCTTTGAGCAGGGACTCTGTATAGAGCCTCAAATCTGCCATTAAAAGCTCTGTGTAACAGTGATAAATGCTGTGTCTTGTTACTGAGTCTCCAACTGTGCTCATACAGAACAAGAGAAGCTATGATAGACAATAATGTCAGTATGAGTATGAGACCTACGCTAGCACTCATACTTGCTGGGGACATGCACACGCCATAAACGATTTCTTCCCTTCGACCTCTGAAAATCGCCATGTTTTCTCTGGTGAGATTAAATTCGAAAGCCAAGTCAGACGGAGCTATCGCTTGGAATCTCTGTTTAACGCCAAACACTGGCTCGGAGGATCTTTTTTTCCTGTTCAGTGCTCTTGGTGCATATCCAGTTCTGTCTTTGTCTGGTTTGAGACCCAAACCACCATCGTCCAGTGATGGGGGTACGAATCCCGCAATGGGGGACCTCATTGCAGGAGAAGCATCTCCTGCTTGATTGGGGGCTGGAAGAGTGTTGGAAGTTTTCGAATCAGTTTCGTCATTTATTTCCATATGATCAAATGATTGTTTTGTTGTCTGATAAAGCGTGTCAGTCTGGTGTTTTTCGGAGTTTGGTAAGCGATCTGCATCGACTTTACTAGCTTCCGTCTTAGAAGCAGGATTGTCCTCATAAATTAGATCTTCTTCTGAGTCCATTCTGCGATCAGATATAACGCTCATCATCATTTGTTGTTTGTGGGTAAATTGCGGAATCGGATATGGGTAGTGCCGCTTATCCTGCTTTAGATCACGAGCCGTCGTCTTTTGAGGCCACCTAGCAGTCTGGTACGTGAACGGTAAGAGGGTCGGCATCATCATCATCATTTTTGACATCATTGCCGATGACATATTTGTAGGCGGAAGGGTATATCTGGGCACATAAATAGGTTCAGGGAAAGGATTAGGAGTAGGTCCTTCCTGAGGATGGAACGCTTCTTTGTATAGTGGAAGTACCCCATCCGAATGTGTTTGAGATTTTAATTTATAGTTTAATGAGTGAGATTTTAAGTCTTCTTTTGTTAATGGTTTCACCTCATCAAATGTCCAAGGAGCAGGTTCTGGTTTTGGTTCTTCTATGCGTTTCTTTTCTATGTGGGGACGAAGAACTCCAGGATTGTGCATAGGACGAACCTCTTCAAATGTCCAAGGAGCCGGCTCTGGTTTGGGTTCTTCAGGACCAGGGAAAAAATAATCATTTTTATGACTATTCGTTGATAATTTTTCTCTGATTGGACTCTCATGGTGGTTATTAAAGTGTTTGTTAGTTTGATGAAATACTTCCTCTTTAGTCAAAACCTTTACATCATCAGCTGACCAGGCAGATGGTTCAGGTTGCGGAATATACGATAAAGGTTTAATACTCTGTTGCACATTACTCTTAAAAATTGATCCCTCGTTTTTAACAATTGCTTGTTTATGATGGGGAGTTGCATCCTTCACGATTGGGATTACTTGATCAGCAGTCCATAATGAAGGCTCAGGTTGAGGAGGTAGGTCCGGAATTTCTTTCAAAATAGGTATGTGGTGTTTCAAATGCTGCTGGTTCTGCTTTTCATTACCATAATCAATCCAGTGAGCATCGTGGCCGATAATTTTATGATATTGCCCAACAGAAACAGGGTTTAGAGGGTTAACCACGTTATGAGTTGCAGCAGCTTTGATATCTAGCTCTGAGTTAGACTCAATGCCAGTTTCAATTTTGGAATTTTTTACTGGAAATGATGATGTTTTTGGAATTTTGTGTCCATATGGGATTACCGATGGATCAATGTTGGGCAACACTTCCTTGAAGGTTGCCGTGGTGTCTCTTTCAGGATAAGCAATACTTGTATTTAATGATATTAGATGTAATTTCTGTTCAGCCGTTACTAAAGAATCTCTATTCTTTTGCCGACCTTTTAGAGCATGAGCCGGTACTTTAGTAAGATAAAGCGGACGCTTCCTCTGAGAAGGTTCTTGAGCGTGAGGAAGTGGATGAGGTTTAGACTGAGATGTTTCTGGTCTTTGAGGTTTCTTTGATTCTAAAGTATGAGGCTGTTGTGCAGGTAGGTTGGCTTTTGTGAATTCGACGACTTTTTCTTGCTTCTTAGATTCCAATGCGTGCAAGAAATGAGTCGGAGTTTGAATTTGTTGTTTAGCTCTTGCGAATTCAGCTAACTTTTTTTGTTTTATCGATTCGAGGGAATGAAATTGCTCACGTGGGTGAGGATGATGGTCTATGAACAAGTTACTGTTGCAAGAGTCTGGACAACCATGCCGACAAACCTCCACCAGACAGTGTACAAGAACATCCAGCTTGTCAGGAAACTTGAAAGCAAAAATATGTGAATATGCCACGAGTGTTGCTTTTCCACCGAAATCACGGATTTTTGCAAATGGAGTAAGGAGAGAGGGCCTAACTACGCATCCAGTTTCATCAGTTAATACGATGTCATTTCCAGTACCATCACTGGCAATGCACTTTTTGACTCTCATGTCAAACTCTCGACTGTGATCATTTATGGCGATGACTAATGTCAGTGGGCTACCTATAGGAACTAATCCTCCAACTTGTCGAGCCCATGGACCTTTTCCTTCCTGTACTTCCATCCAACAGTCAATATCATCACCTATATAAACAAATGCGCATTTTAAAATATTAGTTGTCGAAGATCAATGAATGTAATTTTGTTAAGTTTTATAATATTATAAAGTGTCTGTAATTTTAATGAAATTGCATTATTACAGATTGAAGATTAAATATATGATAAACGCGATATACAGCACGGCTTAATAGTTCGCGCTTGCATTTTCCCTCCCTACAATCTCACGGAATAATTTTATATTTTAATGTTTATCAGATTTTTAAGAACGAGATCAGATATTTAAGAAATTACACTATTTATTTTAACGCAAAATTTGCTATGATTCAATATTCAAATAGGAGATAAAAAATAATGTTCCCATAGAAAGGAAATAGTGGACATTCCATAGGGAGGCATTAGATGTGCATAATATCTTTCGCCCCTTTCTTTACATCTCTTAATTTGCAAATCTATCAAAAAGGAAAAAATAGGTAAGGGTTTATTGATTAATAGGTAGACCATGGAATATCAATAACGGAATACACCCCAAACATGTTAACTCGAATAAAGGCTAAGTACGCGAATGCTTTGCTAGAAAAACAGCATATGTGGAAACAATATTCTGTCCTGCTTGTGATCACTGGACAGTATTCAGTGATCGAGTATGCATTCCAATGAATTATGCCTCTAATGATTGTATTTTTCCGTACTAAGACTCAATCTTAATGATTCGAGGGCTTCACCGTAAATGTGCTAATTAATAACTGCTGACATTGATTTAAATTACGTAATGAGACTCAAAAATGATGTAAAAAATTTTATGCCTTAAAATTCAATATTTTTCGGCTGTTAATTATTTTTTTTTTAAATAACTATAAAAAAATTAGTGAATTATTTTTTGTATTAAATTATCTTTGGATAAACGAGTTTATAATTACGTACTGAAATTTTTCGATTCGTTTACAAGGTAAATGACTAATATCCTGCATTATTATTGGAACCATTTTTTTTTCAGATTGTGCAGATATTTTACAGATTGTGACCCTTGAGGTTATAAAATCCAAATTCGTTAATGAAAAGTTATGTTTATTAAGAGAAAGTGCGTTTTTGTGTATGATTTCATAACTTAAAATATCCTTCCTCTAATGTATTAATATACCCGATCCTTTAAGATTGAGTCTTAGAGGGCTAAAATCCAATCATTAGATAAAAAGTTATTCAGGATTTATTTACTCAGTTTTACCTTTTATTTTTAGGCCTCGGGGAGTACCCATCCTGTGTATCCTGTTGCAATAGGTCCAAGAAAGTTAGACTCTTGGAATTTGAAAGAAAGAACAAGTCCATAAAGGCACAAAAAAATGCAAAAGCCAGAAAAACAAGGAAGTAAGTGAAAAGAGCACAGAAGAGAAATGAAGGGCAAAATAAAACAAAAATAGCTAATTTTATCAAAATAATAGACCGCGAAATAAGAGTTGAAAAAATTGCAAATGTCATCAAAATAGAGACTTCGTAATATGAACACAAATGAAATCCAAACGCTATCAAAATCAGGTACTGAGCAAAACGAGCGCAAAAGTAAAATGCAAACGCAATAAAAATCAGAAACAAAAGCAAAACGAGGACAAAAAGAGCAAATGCTATCAAAATCAGGGACTAAGCAAAAAGAGCACAAAATATAAATGAAAATGCCAAAAACTTTATCAAAATTAGTGACTAATCAAAAAGAGAGTTACCTTGAAAATTGAGTTCAACGACGTCTATGTCAGATATAGCTAATGTGGGCTTGGATGAGGGTTTCTCGAACGATTCTAACCATTCACATCTGAGGCGTTTCGCCTCATCCCATGCTTCGAGAATATCTTCACCATACTGTATAATTATAGTGTTTTCATGAAATTTACCACTTAGATCCTCTATTGTTCCACAGCTATCGTATCTGAAATAAAAAATCAATAAATAAACTAAGTATTAAAAAGTTATTTTAACCCTTGGAATAAAGTATTTCCTGCAACACAGAGCGCTCCTAGGATTCCACCAAATTTAAATAAGTGTCAGCAAAATTTTAAAATAAAATACTCAAATGAAGTTAGGATACAACTTGAATCAAAATTTCTCAACTGTAGGGAAAAAAATCGAATCTTATTTAACTTATAGCTTCTGAAACTATATGAACTAATTAGACTTTTATGTGAATAAATTATCAAAATTACTGCCTTATTCTCAGTTTTTGCAAACTTCTATGAGCCCAGCTAATGCAGCATTGTAATAAGTTTTTAAAAATTAAAGAATTAGACCATAAACGCTTTTCATTTTCACAAAGGCTTTTCTCCATATTGTCTTTTCGCACCATTTTCAAACTAAGCGTTTACGAAGCTGGCCTTGGAAAGACTAAGTAGACATTGAAGAGTAGGCAAGATTTTCGCTTTAAATCTATATAATTTATAATGTATAACATAGCTCTAATTGTAAACAACTTATTAAAAAAAACATGAAATGAACAATAAAAATAATATTAATAATCGATGTTAATATCATTTTTAACATACTGTTTTTTCATCACTGAATAACTAATTCTAAATACGGTTCGTTAGTGTTGAAAAAAGTTGGTCCTGCTATACTGAAAAGCGACATCTATTGCAAAATGTTGGAACTATTTTCATTTTGTCCTAAAATTAAATAATATTGATAATACTGGCTGAAAATAAGTTCAATTGATAATTTAAATTATAAGCCACAAAATTATAATAATATTTGAAACTTTCAAATTATTATAAAATTTACTATTAATGTATCAAGGAATTTGTAAGGGTAGATAAAATACAAGTTTACAGGGAAAAAGATAAAAATTTTATCATGATGCTGCCATCTATTGACTTTTTATTTAATCACAATTTTCAGAAGTAAGACGATGAAATATTTTTATCTAGTGCTGCTATTAATATATCTTCTAAGTAAATGTATTTTTCATGATTTTTTTTTAATTAATCGACAATCATATTTATAAATAATAATAAAGTCAGTTCATTAAAATATTTGTTAGATAGTATTTTACTTTAAAAATATTTAATAGGGATTGCTTTTTAAGAGTGCTTGATAATGTTTAGAACTTAAAGCAATAATAATGTGTAAATTAGGGTTTTGAGTTAGCAGTTTCAAAATGAACATTTTTCAGATTTCACGTCTATTAAAATTTAACTTTATTACAGTTTAAACTGATGAAAATGGTTTGATGGAGCTGAAAAGTTCATATAAATTGCACAAAAGCGGAGATACTTATCACAAATCTAAAAACGGACAAATTTAAATTATTCAACTAACATTTAAAAACTGCTAATAACTCATCTGTATTGCAAAAAATTTGTCAGAATGACCTAAAAGATACTGTATGCCTTATATCTAAAATTCTAAGGTGACTGCCATGTATTTTGCATGTTTCAGAGGAAACTGTTGAATAGAGTAAGAAGCAACTCTCAGTTTTTTCTTCTTTTTTTTTGAAAAAATTAAATTAAAATGATTAAAATCACGTATAAAATGCATCCTTCCCACCTCTATTATTTCGACTGTTGAGTTCCGTCCGGAGGATAAAAACCGCTTAAGTATAAATATAAAACAATTTTGCTGAAAATTATTATTCGAGTTTAATTAATTTAAAAATTACGAGTCAATTTATTCGATTGCAATTCTAGTTCCATAAATACATTTATTCAAGTTGTAAAGATTTGTTCCCAATTTTTTTCTAATATTTTTAGAATTTTTTTGCAGACCTTGTGTGTTTAATTCTAAAAATTACAATTAATAATACCTTAGCATGCAGCTAGATGGCAGCGTCATATACATTTTTAGTACTTTTTGAAAATCTTTCCTTGTGCCACAATTCAACCTCAGATTTAGTCAGTAGTGGCGCCATCTTTCAGAATCAACCATAACAAATATTAACTTTATAATTATAAAACATACTAAATTGCCTTTAAAGAATATTTCAATACAATGTCATTAAGTTTTAGATCTTTTTCTCTAACAATAGCAATAGGTTTATAATAAACTAAAGAGTATAATTAACAAAGGATGTCTACTTCTTTATTTCACAGTGTCAACCCTTTTCATAACAATTGGCATAATATTTTTCTCCACTACATAGAGTGGTAGAATTTACCATTTTACATTTAAAATAGAGAATTTGATTCCTAGGGATTTTGACCACCGCAATATATAAATAATTTAAACAACTATGCAAGACCTGTACTAGCAAAGTTAAACAAATTGAGCCTGCTTTAAATTTTATTTAAATAAAATTTAAAATATTGATTGGAGCTAGTATTTCAGTGTAGGGGTGTAAGCTTATGAGATAAACAGTGACTTTGTACATTTAACAACTGGAAAATGGGGATAAAAAAATATTAAAAAAGCTAAGTTTATTGAAGGTATAAAAAAATTTGATAGCTAACGTAGTTGTAGCTAATTAATCTATAAGAACACCTTTTCTTTCCAGTTAGTTGTTATCACGTTTTGTCAAAATCGCCAAGTTAAAAAAAAAAATTTTTTTTTAGAGAAAATGGTGATTGGTTAACTAAAACTAACGATGGATTCGTCATTTTTAAATAAACATTTGAAAGAAACTCTTATTTTTACCAAAATAAAGTTTTTCATGATGTATAGAAGTACAGAAGAGACACAATAATTGATTTACTGGAGTTAAATAAATTATTTGAAATACTTCAATAGGTTATAGCTCTCGTGTAACTTGACGCTTCATAGATATGCACATCGACGGCTAAGTTCGATGAAGAAATTTACGAGTATTACAAAATTGAACATTTTGTTTACGGAATAGATAAGAAACTAAACATTAAAACACTTTTTGTATACAACTTTTTAAAATTTCCCCTATTATCTGCAGCATTAGTATTAGTTTCGAAAATATAAATGTTTCACATACATGTTCACATACATGTTTCATATGTTTTAGTACTATATAATGAAAGTTGTCCCAAAATTTATGCAAGATTGGAATAAATAAAAACACTTATTAAATTTTAGTGTTGGCAGCCTTAAATTGAAATACAGTTGGACAGCTGACGTCATTTATTCAGTATCCTAAAAAAAAAGAGAAAGAAAATCTAACCGGTAGTCTTGCAGTCCAACTATGACGTCATAGCAGCTCAGATTAGTGTAAATATATGCATTCATATCATCAAGAGGAAGATATTAGCGCCTCTGCCATCTGCTGATAATCGAGAGAACCTCAGGAATAAGGTGAATAAGTTTACTAAAAAAAGCGTTAAAGAACGACGTGTTCCATAGATAAACAACATTTCAAAATTAGCGAAAGTTTGAATGTTAAAGTTCCTAAATTTCGTACAAAACAGGATCGAAATATTGATTTTACTTCGTGAACTGTGAAGAGAGTTATTGAAAAATTTAAGGAAACTAGAACAATTGGAGAAGCTAAACACACTGTCCGTAAAATACAGTGATATCTCAACATGCCTTTTGGACATGGTTTCTACGGGACGGCGTGACATGCCATACTGCTCGTGAATCAATCCAATTTCTGCCTCAGACATTTCCTGGATGCGCATTCTCTTGTTTCGGTTATGAGAATTGTCCCCTAGATCATGTGATTTAACACCATTGGATTTCTTTCTATGGTATTATTTGAAGCCAAAATTCTATGTCAATAAACCGATAGTGCCGCATGTATGCAAAATAACAATAGATAAAAGATATAATTTGAACCAGCAAAGCTATGGAGCTCATTTGCGCAAAGGGCCATTCCAGATATAATCCTATCCTATGTACTTTAAATGTCAATGAAAACAAAATCAACAATTCGAAAAAAAACTGTGTTTTCCATTTAATTCAAATCTTTCTTAAGTTTTGGGATACGCTCTAAAATACAGTTATAACATACTTTATATGGAATGTGACTTCCTGCACACCCGCTCTTGGTGCGACATGGTAACATTTTTCCTGGTGATGCCCTGCATTAGAGTAGACTACCCCATAGAATGGTAGGTCAAATCCCATGTGAACCGTCATGTAATCTTTGCTACAGACCACATCCAGTCGATTGATTTGTGACTTGGGTGATTCTAAGGAGTTTCCATGAAAGTGATAGTCCTAAATTTATATTATTACTAATGTATTTTCATATTATAGAACAAAATGGGTTTACATAATTGAGGAGGATAAATTAAAAAAAAAATTAATTTGTTTGCATAACAAAAAACACGAGTCTGGCATTTTGGTAATCAACCCGATTCGTGTTTTTGACTAGGACTGGCCCACAACCCACAACATCATTGAAGCCCATATCGCGCAAGGTTTGAAAATCATTTATAATCTGGCACGGACCGTGATGACCCATGTGATATAGCTTTCGCCTTCCCATGCGAATTCCGCAACCGGTTTTCACCGCCCGCAGTGCTGACGCAAAATATTCTCAGTGGTAGACTGATCATGGGTTAGACTAACCGTGCGAGGTTCTCGTGGTCCATGTAACGCAAATGCGGGTTAGTTCCATCAAAAATTCTCCCAGTACTTGATCCAGGAGCTTCCATGTCTTCTGGATTAAGTTCAAAATTACAAGACTACGGAATTGAACATTAGTAGCCGTAAATCCGAAATATTGGCTCGCCTGTTCAACGACTGTTATAAAATATAATAATCTGGATGACGGTCTGGATAACGTATATTTCCCCTTTAAATTATACTAAACATTCATATAATATAAGTAAAACTGAAATGTCGAATTAAAGCGAAAAATAGTTTTCCAAAATACTTAAAATTATCGTAAAATTTTAATTAAACAAATTCGTTTTTTTTACGAATATCTTTCCAACCACTTTTTACTAGGTATATGTACGTTATTTTTTACATATATTGCGTCAATTATACATCAAAATTTACGTAACTTATAACGTCGAATAATAGCAAGAAATGTTTCTCCAAAAAAAAAAAATTTAAAGTAAAATTTTGTGTAAACAAATTCGCTTATTTTAAAAATATTTACCAACCACGCTTTATTAGGTAAGAATGAGTGCATTACATATTTTTACATATTATTTACGTCAACGGTACATAGAAATGTAAGTAAGTTGAAACGTCAAATTATAGAAAAAAGTGATTATCCAAAGAACAGAAAATTTGCAAAATATCCGAAAGCAATTTTACGGAAGGGTAGTTGGTAAAATCCATTCTGTTAATGGGACGTAAAATATACCAAAACCTTCTTTTTTATCAAATATCTCAGTGGTAATATCATATGATAATATCATATTGACTATATGGGAGTGGTATCAGGAGTATCAGGGTATATGGGAGTTCAAACCTTCCCCTGTTCTGTTTTTCTTACGTTTCTTACTTCCAAAAATTAGAATGTTATATAATCCAGCACAGATACTAGATTTTCGTGGTTTTTTCTATCAATAACCCACAAATGTGGATTAGTTTTACTCTAAATGTTTTCCACAAATATGGCTTTTTTTAAACTTGATCCAAAAGATCATTTAACGTCTGGGTTAGGAAGAAAATTTCTAAATTTAGTTATTACGAACAAGAAATACTTTTGCAATGTGAACCATATATTTAGCGTTGGTGATAAAATATTATATAATCTACGGCAGCGATCGCTAAATTATGGAAGACTACTGAAAGAATTTTTCACGTCAGTGATAGAATTGTTAGTGAAGGCGTATGCTTGCTTTGGTTGCGTCAGTCAAAATTTTCCCACTCATTTGAAGCTGGTACGTCACATTGGATGAATATTATTACTTTTATAATAATTATTATTAAGTAAATATAAATGAATCATTATCCATAATTTACTTTTTTATATATATATATTTCATCGGAAGCATATGGTGTGCTCATTTGAATAACTTTTAAAGTCAGTATAATTTTTGAAAAATTACTCTAACACGTCAATTTTGTTAGGAGGGTGATCTTTAAAAACTCTCTTTAATCACTTGAAAAACTTTCCCTTTTTATAAAAAACTGAGATAACTACTTGGTAGTCCCCGAAGACCGAAAGATTGACGATTATTGACCTACAGGGTAAAACCATGCTATATTTTTTGTTATTATTATCTATTACATAGTAATATTGTATTGTGCATTTTAAATTAATTTAGTGCTTACATTAATTTAAATAGCATTTTAAAGTGCTCGGAGTGCAGAAGGTTGAAATCTCATACTGAAAATTGCTATCGTTAAAAAGAATGACTATCAATTTCCTGAAGTCAGTGGAGAGCAATAGATAAAATATAATTGATAGATAAAATATACTATAATAGATAAAATTAATTTATGATGACTTCAAGAAACATCACATTGAAATTTAAAATCTTCTTATCTTAGTATTTCGTTATCACAGTCATTTGTTATTATTGTCTGTTACACAGTAAAATATCTTTGTATAGTTTAAATAAAATAAGTGCTTACATTAATTTAAATACTATTTCGAAGTGCTTAGAGTGCGAAAGGATAAAACCTCATATTGAAAATTGTTTTAGGTAAAAATAATGACTACCAGTTTTTTGAGGTTAGTAGAATGCAACGGATTCTTAAAGTTAATGGGTGATGACTTCATTGTAATATAAAATCTTTGTATTTTAGTATTTGCGCCCAGCATTCTTTTGTTATTATTATCTGTTACAGAGTAATATTGTATTGTGCATTTTAAATTAATTTAGTGCTTACATTAATTTAAATAGCATTTTAAAGTGTGCTGAGTGCAAAAAGCGAAGATCTCATCTTGAAAATTGCTTAAGTTAAAAAAGCCAGTAACTGCCAATTTTATGAAGTCAGTAGAGTACAATAGATTTTTTTACCCCTTGGGGACGGGTGGTTCACAAAAGCATTCGTAAAGAATCAAAATGCAAATTAAAAACGGTGACTTAAATGTAGTCGTTTCTAATTTGACAGACTTACTTTGCTTTTACTTTAATTATTGTCAGTTTAATCATATATATAATCAACGTTAGTTCAAAGTATAACTAAATAATTTTATTTTGAACTAAGTAATGGTGAATTAATTAAATAAAACAATTATAACCCCGCCCAACTGCTAAAGAACTACTTTGGTTACCAGTTTTATCTTTTTACCCTGATTGATGCGGTTTTATGCTGGCACGTATTTGTAAAGATGCCAACTTTCTCCGGACAGCAAATAATTATTTTAAAGTGGTAGTTTATCAATTGTGATTCTTGGTCTAATAAATTCAATTTAGTAGATTTTTATCTACCACTATTTCTAAATAATTCGTAGGCTTATATAATTCACCACTTCATTAGTAATTAAGTAATGATACGCCTTCATTAGTAATTAAGTAATGATACGCCTCTTTTAAAGCAAGCAAAAATAGTCAAATATTTGCAAAATTTACTTCGTAGCTATTTACCGTTCTTTTTAATTATTTTAGCGTGTCCGGAGCAGTTGGCATCTCTGTATTTGTGACGGCTCGAAAGGGTTAATGTAAATAAATTAAAAGTTAATGCAAAAGGCTGACATCTCATACTGAAAAATCTTTTAATTAAAGAGTAATTACCAATTTTTATTTACATAATTTTGTTTGAATAATTGCGGTTTTTCCGTTGTTACTTGTACTCATCTTATCAGGAATTTAATACTAAATTGCTGGTGAGAGCTAGCAGACATATTAGATAAAACAGCAGGCCTGACTACTCTTTTCGGGAAATTTTTTTTTAGTGGCAGCTAAGTTTATTCTTTAATGCATATGTTGTTGTTGATAAATTTTAAATCATGTTGATAAAATTTATTTAAAATTATTTTTTACACCACTACTTGTAATGAATCGAATGTTATAGAAAAAACAAATTTGTTCCAATCTTCCTAAGGTGAGGCTTTTAAAATGTTGGCAAACTTACCAATATTTCTATAAGATTTAGCTTTTAATTGTACAGAGATGCCAACTTGCTCCGGACAGCAAATATCTATTTTATAGAGGTAGTTTATCAATTGTGATTCTTGGTTTAATAAATTCAATTTAGAAGATTTTTCTTCACCACTATTTCTAGATAATTCATAGGATTATATATTTCACCACTTTACAGCAATTATGTCATGTTATACCTATTAAAAAGCAAGCAAAAATAGTTAAATATTTGTCAAATTTTATTTACCGTTTTTTTTAATTATTTTGGAGCGTACGGAGCAGTTGGCATCTCTGATTGTATACCACTCAATAAAATATTTTGCAAAAGTGCAGAAGTTGGCAGCTCTGAAACAGTGTTTCCGCAAGTGAGCAGAATGGTTTTCAACCAGCTTTATATGAATCATTGATAATTTTTAAATGACGCGGAAACCATGCGGGTAGAATATGTAAAGTAATTTTAACTCATGAAATTTCTCAATTTTAACTGATGCATGCATTAATGAACGATAGAGATCTTGCTCATGGAATTGTTTAACAAAAGTAGCTTGCATCTTTTTTTTATCATTCATCATGGACTTCCAGCCTTGTAGCGATTGAAATGCAAATAGTGGAATAAAGTAGAAAAGAAACATACTTCCAGCCTTGTAGCGATTGAAATGCAAATAGTGGAATAAAGTAGAAAAGAAACATTTTGCCACTTTGTCAGAGTTACCGAATTGCTCCTCTTTGTAAAAACATATTTTCCAGTGGTAGCAAAATTTAAGTTATTTTTAGCTTAGTATTTTCATTATAGGTAATCTTTTTTCCAACACATATCAAAAATTGAAAGCAGACAAAATACAATTTTATTGTATCGTATCTCGTAGTAACGCTTCGTAAGAATGGGAGTAATTATCCTCATTCTACAAGTTTCACTGTTTTATTTGCTACCAATTTATTAAACCTTTACAAGAAAGCTAAACAGTTGGCATCCCTGCTACATAAGTTAAGTTTTAATTTTCAGCGTGATGAAGAGCAATTCATCCTTGCAGAAACACGCTGCTGTAGGCCATAATTCTAACATCTTCTGATAACCAATCAAATAGCAAAATATCATTAAATTAGGCTCCACTGCAATTTTAACTTGAGTTTAATTTAGTCATATGTTAGTGAAGATCATAAAGTTTTGAATGGTGATGTATGCCTTCCTAGCGTATGAGCCTTTTAACTTTTTTTCAAGCAGAGAAAATAATACAGGGTGTTTATAAAGTCCCGCACCCATTTTGATGTTAAATAACTCATAAAATAATAAAGATAGATTAAAATTAATAACATAAATGGTTAGATAGACTCAAAAAGTTTCATGACCCTTGTCAATGAACTTCCACGTGTGCCCCCTTCGTCGCACGAAGAATATCAAGTCGATAGTCAATTTCATGCCAGGTAGCGACAATCATGTCGGCATCCACAGAGGCTATTGCGGTTGTAATTTTGGCTTTTAGGTCATCAATGTTCGACACAATCCTCCTATAAACATTGTCTTTTTTATAAATCCCCAAAGAAAAAAGTTCAGCGGCGTTAAAGCAGGTGATCTGGGTGGCCAAAGAATAGGACCTCCTCGCCCAATCCATCTTCCTGGTAAATGGTCATTCAAAGAACTACGAACGATGATACCCACACATATCTTCGCATTGGATGATACCTTCGTATTTCCACAACTAGAAGAGCTTCAGCCACATGTCTTTTTGCAACAAGATGGTGCACCACCTCATTGGGGTATCATTGGGTGCCACCTCATTGGGGAACGGTGATACATTGCATCAGGCAGGCAAAGCGTATGTTGGGATTGGTCTTAATCATGAGTAGATAAAGAACCTTTTCAGTTTCGACTTCAAGTGGAGCTGGTGATACATTGCATCAGGAAGGCGAAGCGCATGTTGGGATTGGTCTTAATCATGTGTAGATAAAAAATATTTTCAGTTTCAACTTCAAGTGTAGTAGCTGATACATTGCATCAGGAAGGCGAAGCGTATGTTGGGATTGGTCTTAATCATGGGTAGATAAAGAGGGTTTTCAGTCTGAACTGAAAATATAGAAGTTTAAATACTGCAGCAAGTGCTTTACCTTTAATTTTGAAGACGTGATCATTCCGAGAAAATTTTGTAGTTCCTATGAATCTGCTATGAGCTATGAAATATCATTGCTGTTAGTGCCAACTAAAACACTGGCAAGATGTAAATCTAGCATGTTTTGCTTCCGGTTGGAATTTTAGAACTATTGTAATAGCTGAAATTCTTAACATATTTTGGTTATTATTATTTAATGTTATTTTATATAAGTATAATTTAACCCACAAAAAGTGATCTGTAGATTTAGGGTTGATACAGGTAACTAGATATGCAAGGAGTGGAGATTAATTAAATTCGAAGTTTCATATAAAAAAAGGATTAAAATTAGGAGCATTTTATAATATAAAGATTTTTTTTTTCCAGTTTACTATTGAAAGTGCATACCTGCCAACATGTATGATCGCTGAAAAAGATTTTAAAAAGTGGTAGTAAAGCAACAATTAAGTTTAGCAGAATTTTCTAAGAACAAAACTATTAAGACATTTATGAGCATAATTAGCAAACAACTAGATCTTAACTACTTATTTTTTAAAAGTATAGATAATCGTGGTAGTTTAAAATCTTTTTAAGAAACTTTAAACTTGGGATTTATACGCTACTACGCTAATCTTGCTTCCGAAACGCTAATGTTGTTGACTGTAATGAATGACTCTGGTTTAAATATGAATAAATTGAAGTGTAACTCGTGGTGGTAGTTACGATTTAATAATATGAAAATGATAAATGAATAAAAATAATTGAGTTTTTACCACGCTTTACACTTTCTGGCATCACTGATTGTTATCGAACACCGACTGATTAATAAAAAGCCAAAGATGCCAACTTGCTCAAGACAGCAAATATATATTTTAAAGCGGTAGTTTATCAATTGTGATTCTTGGTTTAATAAATTCAATTTAGTAGATTTTTATCCACCCCTATTTCTAAATAATTCATAGGCTTATATGATACATCACTTTATAGTACCTTTTAAAAAGCAAGCAATAATAGTCAAAATTGTAGTTATTTACCGTTTTTTTAATTATTTCGGCGTGTCCGGAGCAGTTGGCATCTCTGAAAAGCTAGAAAAATTTAAAGATTCGACAAATATATGCTTATCTGCTAATTTTTACGCATTTTGTGTAAGTTTTATTTTTATATTTAAAATGGTAGTAAAATGCACGCTTTTTATATATTTTTTACATTTATAAACTAAATTAATAATCTTTATTTTTAAAAAAAATAAACATATATAATCAGAGATGCCAACTTGCTCCGGACAGCAAATAAATATTTTCAAGTGGTAGTTTATCAATTGTGATTCTTGGTTTAATAAATTCAATTTAGTAGATTTTTATCCACCACTGTTTCTATATAATTCGTAGGCTTATATTATTCACCATTTTACAGTACTTACGTCATGCTATACCTTTCAAAAAGCAATCGAAAAAAGTCACATATTTGCAAAATTTACTTAGTTATTCACCGTTTTTTTTTTAATTATTTTTGCATGTCCGGAGCAGTTGGTATCTCTGTATAATATTTAGTCTCAATAGCTATACAAGTATAAAATATATGTGTCCTCCTAAAACTGTTATTTAAATTCTATTTTATCAGTGATGCCTACTGCTTCGGACACGCCATAGTAAATTAAAAAACGGTAAACAACTACAAGCTAAAATTTGCAAACATTTGACTAATTTTGATTAACGGTGTGGTATGAAAAAGTTCAGAGCCGAATCATAATTTAAATTGTTTTACGTTGTTTCAAATACCCTTTGTCAAATACCAGCAAACCTGGTTGGCGAATTTCAGGCAAAGTGTGCTTTTCTTGTTTTTCAGTGCGTCATCTATGGCTAAGTATACGACTTCGCACACTTAGGCACGTTACAGCCTGTTTATAGGGCGAACCCATTCATACATCCATTTATTCAACCACATATCGTAATTTTGGCTTGGACCAGAGAATGATCAATCTCCTATTCAGTACCCCCAGAGATATTGATTTGTTATGTGATCTTGTAGGACTTTGTGACCCGACCAATTGAACGTGCACCAGTCACCATTTAATACACGCGGAATCTTCGCCTGGTGGGGATCAAACTCACAACCTCTTGGGCATGGGCCCAATGCCTAAACTAAACAGGCAACATCCCCCCATTTCAAACTAAAAAGATATGAAAAATCTATATTACCTGTTTGTTCCATTTTTCTCCTGCTGCGGTCAATCCTATTAACATTGCCAGAAGCGAAAGAAACATCGCCTGTCTCAGACCTAAAATTATTAAATTAATATAGAATTAAAACTTGACGAAAATTCGTACTTGCTAACTTTTCCCGTTCTAAACGGGGATATATATATATANCTTTCCCCGTATGTTTTTTTAATATTTAAAGCCTTAAATACATAGTTCTTAAATATCTAAACAATTCATGAAAACACATCATACCTGATAAACTGATATATAAAAGAAGTATAGAGTGACGTGGCGTGTTTTAGCTCTGGTAAAATGTAACAAATTATGCAAATGTTATTATTTATTTATTGTCACTCATTTAAATATTATGGAAATTTGGAATTTTCGGGTCGCCAATGTATATGTAATATAAATCAGTGTTTTTCAAGCTTATTTACTTGGCGGATTGGTAAAATATTTTAGTAATTAATAAGCAAGTTTAAGAGTAGACACTCGAAACATGAAGATTAAATCCTTCTTTTCACTTGTGCGATAATCTTAGGTGGGCCCTGGCTTTCTCCAAGAGTTTCCTCCAAACTGCCCCTCTGTTTGGTGACTGTCCTCCAATTCGTGATTTTGAAAGTATTGATGTCCTTCTCAACATTGTCAAATCACTTAAGACGTGGTCTTCGTTTTGTTCCCATAGGTTTTGATAAAAATATTTTCTTTCAGTTTCGGTCTTCCTGCATTCTAATTAAATATCCAACCTATTTTAGTCCTTGTATTTTTATGTACAACATCAAGTTCATAAAAGATTTTAGGAGTTAGTTCTTTTTCCTCATGAGTCGTTTACCTGAGTTCCACCACAGATACTTCGTAGTACTCTTCTTTTAAGAATTGCAATCGCCTCCTCGTCAATGTCCTGGTCTCCGAAGCGTTAAGTCAAGATGGGTCCTTTAAGAGTTTTATATAAGAGTAATTAAGTTCTTATTTTCAGAAATTTGGATCTCATGTATTTTTTTCAGACTGCGAAAACTTCTATTGGCATTTTTGAGTCGTTCATGCGTTTTTATAGTTAGGTCATTGTTATTGTTAATTTCTGCTAATTATTAAGTTATCGTTTAATTCTGCAGAAGTTTAATTCCAAGTACGTGAAAATTCAATCATCAAATCAAACATTCAGGGTGTTCCATTTTTTATTTTGCGCATTTTACGAATTTGTTCCAATGGACCTTCCGAAAATTTTAATTGAACAGTTTAAAAAACTTAAACTTGTTTTTAATTAGTACTTTCTCTTCTTTGAGATCAGATTTTCTCAAATCTTTTGTTTTTATCATCTAAATTTATTGATTACATGAACATAAACGTGAATATTTAGTTCACACACTTTTTAGAACTAAATATTAATACGCTATTAACACGTTCACGCCGGGGTGTCACGCTAGATTTTCTCATCTTGGCAGCGCACCAGAGTAAAAACTGGTAGCAATAAATTTCATTTTTAAGTTTTTTTCCGGGAATAATACAAATCCATAACTACCAATTGTTTTTGACGGATGCAATTTTTATATTGAATTGCTTCTTATCCGTGATAAATTTCCTTACTGTGAGTTGTATTGTTGAGAATAGATTAACTCCTCCCTAATATTATCTAATATTGAAATAGCTCTTCTACCAGTATTTTCCCGTTTCCCGGAGTGAACGTGTTAACAGTAAAATGTAAAGCTTGTAAGACATAGTTATATTACTTGTTAATATGGACACTATTTTTATCTTATTAACATTAATTCATAAACGTTAGATTTGAAGAAAAAAACACAACAACATAATGTTAAACCTTTACAGAAAATTAAACACTTAAGAGTTTTAAAAATATCGGAAACTAGTAAAACTACCGTTAAATCAGAACTTATCAATTATGTAAGCGCCTTTTCAATAGCCTTTACTAAAATAACTAAGAATTATTAAATGCAGGAAATGAATTCTAACCATCCATGATTCAAAAGAAACGCCCCATCTCTATCGTAGGAACGAAATTAGAGGTCATATGCTAATTTATGTTTTCCAAAACAGCTATGACCTAAGATAATAGAAATCAATTAATTCCTTTGAGTTGAAGTCTCAGGTGTAGGTTTTTGTGTTAATGAGGATATTTAATTAAAAGGACAAAAGATATTTTTAAACCTTTAGTTACCCTTAAAGATGCTGTTTTAGTATATCACGCGTAGCAATAGTCACGCTTTCAAAATTTATTTTTGTATCATTTCTTTATCGAATAATACTGAGGAGCAAATTTTTGTTGTAAGTACTTCATAAAGTACTTTTATACGAGTACTTAATCTTATCTAATTTGGGTTCGAGGATTTTAAATCAGAAATTAGTTTTGATCTGAAATCTATAGATGGTTTTCAAAATGGTATTCTTAGTTTGTCTGTATGTACAAATTTATAAAGAACGTATGTGTTTATATTTTATAACCGTCGTTGAACAGCCGACCCAATTTTTACTAATGTTCAACTCAGTAGCCTTGTAATTCTGAATTCAATTCAGAAGACAAGGTAACTCCTGGATCAGTACCCCCAGAGGTATGATTTGTTATGGGAACATAAAGGGATTCGTACCTAGATTGCCTCATTTTATAACCGTCGTTGAACAGTCGATCCAATTTTGGGCTTTGCAACTCCGTAGCCTTACAATTTTTGAACCCAATCCAGAAGACTAGCGAATTCAATCCAGAAGATAAGGGAACTCCTGGATCAAGTATTGGGAGAAATTTGCATTCGAGAAGGATTTTACGATGAAACTAAGCAGCATTTGCATTACATGGAGAGAATAACAGCGAAAAACTCTCACGGTTGGACTGACGGCAAGGGAACTCAAACTCCGTCAACTACTGAGGATATTGTACTTACTGTGATCGGCGCAAGTCGGATGCGGAATTCATAATGACCACTCTATCCCTGAGCCATCACGGCTCTCTGCTTCTCTGAAAATAATACTTAAGACAAAAGATGACATTAACTTATCGCATCAAAAATTATTTATTATTGTTATTATTATTATTCATTATCGCCTTTTTCCCACCACTCTCAACGTAGCAGAGAAGGAGGGACACTTAGTATTCACTCCAGCGAATTTTAAAAAATCCCTGTTGGGACTATATTCTTAAATTGCATCAAAATCGTAGCGCGTAGAGAGAAAATGATCGCAGATTTGAAATCAATGATGTGAAAGTATCCGGAATCTGTTTAAAAAAATATCACGTAACGGAATTTTTTTCCCTTAATGTACTCAAAACACAAGATTGTTTTGTTGGTTTGGAATTTTCGAATAAATTTTAATTTCATATCAGGGTCATTTTTGTCAACTAAAGTGTGGATTTTAGGAAAATAACTTTAACTAGGAGAGCAACTTTCTTTTTTCGAAAACGAGCATTCAGTTATGTTTGAGTTCGGCGCTCTTACAACATGTAATTCCATCAGTACATACTAACTGGAATACATGATAAGGTTCATAAATTTGGCTTTGAAAAAAACTCAGGAACATAAAAAGAAAAATATATTCGATCTGGAGATCAAAAACCTTAATGCCTTTCAATTTAAATGTTCAACAATTAAAAAAATAGAAAAAAAAATTATTATTAAATGTTTTTTCTGAAATTCACTTTGTATAAATTAATTTTTATATTTCATTAAATTGTTTTATACAAGTGTTATATGGCATGGTTAACCCTTTCTCGCCGACTGTCACAGATACGTGTCAGCATAAAACCGTATCAATCAGGGTAGAAAGATAAAACTGATCGCCAAAGTATTTCTTTAGCAGGTTATTTGTGGATGAGGCTATAATTGCTTGATTTATTTAACCCCTTGGGGACGGGTGATTCAGAAAAGCATTCGTACAAAATCAGAATCAAGTTGCAATTAAATAAAAAACGGTAACTTAAATGTAGCCGTTACTAATTTGACAGACTTACTATGCTTTTATTTTAATTATTGTTAGTTTAATCATATATATAATCAATGTTAATTCAAAGTATAACTAAATAGTTTTAATTTGAACAAAGTAATGGTGAATTAAATAAATCAAAAAATTATAACTCCGCCCACAAATAAACTGCTAAAGAAATACTTTGATTACCAGTTTTATCTTCTTACCCTGATTGATACAGTTTTTTGCTGTCACGTATTTGTGACAGTCGGCGCGAAAGGGTTAATCCACCATTACTTTGTTCAAAATAAAATTATTCAGTAACTAAAATTGATTTGACATATGATTATGTCTTTTACTTGAACAGTAATTAAAGTAAAAGCAAAGTAAGTCTGACAAATTAGCAACGCCTGCATTTAAGTTACCGTTTTTTATTTATTTACTTTCTGATTTTGTACGAATGCTTTTATGACTCACCCGTCCCCAAGGGGTTGAAGATCGAAACCTTAAAAGTTGAACACTATATCCGCCAACTCTCCCGGATTTTGCGGGAGATTTTATTTTCATATTTAAAGTGGTAGTAAATATATACTATTTTTTCTTGAGACTGCGAAGATAT